TCTATGATTCTATGATTGTATGATTCTATGAAAATGCACAGAATCACAAAATTGTAGAAGATCTTGAGTTGGAAGGGACCTGTAAGGATCATCGAGTCCAATTCCCTGCTCCTCGCAGGACTGCCTAACACTAAACCAGACACTGGTACATTCTTGCCATCCTCAGGCTCAGGTGCTTTGGGCTACAGATGCCAATTTGTACTGGGATGGGGCCAAGGTGGTCTACATCTGTGTTCTAAATTTCAACACCTCTGACAATTCAGAGATGATCCAATGTCCAGTTCTTTAGAGGAATGCTTAGGAAAATCAGATACCTTCTCCAGAGAATTTAGGAGACTACTAAAAACGTATTACCATTACAAATATTTGCCATGAGAATCTTTTCATTATCTCTCATCACTGCTCTTAAAGAAGGCAGGTAGGATGCCAATTTCTCTGCTGAGTGATCAGCTAACATGCAAATTTTAGCATACTGGGATTCTTGGCAGGTACATACGTAGCACATTTTCCCATCTGCTCCTCTCCTTAGGGCAGGCAGGAAGAAGAAATATTTAAGCAGAGAAATAATGTGATCCTTTTGTGTGCTGCAGCACTCCCACTGTAGCTGCTATGAAGGGCAGCCTACAGTTTTCAAGAGGATTAAGTATGCAAAGTAACCACCAAGATTGCCACATGTTCAGTTTTACCTTGTAACTGTAGTGTGCTGAATAGTTGACCCACTTCCTTACGTCGGTCTTGTCCTCAACAGAGATGGACCGAACAGCGGCTTTGGATGCAGAAGTGGTGGGCATGTCGAATTCCACCTCTACATAGCGGACAAAACTGGAAGGCACTTCCCGGTCAGAGCCAAGCTCTAGGTGACAGAAGAAGCAGTGAGGATGGCCAGAAGCTGCAAAAAAAGCCATGAAAGTTGTGTTGGATGGATTAGAAAAGACAACATCTAGGAAGAAGCAACATCATGGAACTGCAAGAAACCGAGAATCTGCCGGGTGAACTAGTTCATATAAGTGACAGTATCTTACCTGTTTGGTGCTATAGGAATTAGAGGAATTAAACAAAACTGCAAAAAGAATTGCCAATCACTCTGGTGTTCTTTTAGTGGTGGAAAATACAAGATGTAAATCAAGCACAGAAGGGTAAAGGTATTTTCCTTTTTCTGATTCTCCCAGTGTATGTAACATGTTAAGCACATTGTGGCATATCCTTCTGAAATGTCATGTACTGGTAATGAGGAAAGGTGAGATTTGACAGATATTTCACATTTGTTTGAAATTGTTATTCCCATTTTTAGCAGAAGAAAATATACTGGATAATGTTAAGTAATTTTCCTGGGTTTAAAAAGCAAGTTCATGCACAGCTTGGAAGTAACTGTTTATTCTTTACCCTACCCCAGTCATTAAAGATGGCAAGGTGAGGAAGTAATACGTTTAGCTCTGTCACCTGTAAATAATAACCTTTGTTATTATTTCCCCCTCCTGTGTTTTGCTGGACAGCAGCGATGTTTAAAAATTGAAGTAGGGACTGCTAGTCAAGCCAGGTTCGTTTTATTTCTGACTGCTGCCAACTCCCTGAGCTCTTGAGCAAGTCATTTAAGGTCCGCACCTCAATTTTTCTGTCTACAAAATGAAAACGAAAGCCTTCAAAGCCACTTTGGGCTTTTCCGATTGAAGGGATCCAGAGTTTCCTCACAAATGGGAGGTTTAACAACTTACGTCCCTGCAACAGATCCAACGAGAGGCTATGCAGTTCAACAGAGACAGCACTGATACGCAGCACCACAGCTGGAGCCAGGTTATGAACGAGTGGGTGCAGTTATCAGACATAAAAGCTTGAGTTCTGCAAGCATTTAAACATACCACCAGGACTTTCATGAGGATTAATTATCCCAAGCAGAGTACTGACTGTGGTTCTGGAGTGAGCTGGGAGCTCCCTCTGACAGCACGTCCCAGCTTTTCGTAACTGGAGCACAGGTTTTCAGGATAAAATCAGTGGCACACAGCAGACCTTCAAGATGATGCCTCACACCATGGGCCAGCAGCAGCCCCACGTGCTCTCGGGGAGATCACTGTGCCTCCAGCACTGCAGGGCTTTTGCTTCTGGCCAGTTCTTGGGCTCAGCTGCGGTGGACATACCTGTGGTGGCAGGGCAGTCCAGCCTCTGCCATGGGACATGTGGGTACTGCTGTACGTACCTGGGAATCACTGCTTTGTGGTACTGCATTATGCAGATGCCTAAAAATTCCTGGCTCAAAATTTCTGTGTTCAGCACTCAGTGCTGGCAACCAACTCCAAGTCTCAGACCCCCCATCCGTTCCTATCTCTTCACTCACCCTGTACCAAGCTCAGCAGACTCATTGCAATCCCTCCTGCTCATCTGCTTTGCTATGCTTTTCCTCTCCTACAGATTGCCTTCAGACTGCCCGGATTGCAGTGGAGGTTCACAGCAGTCTGAAGGAGTGGCAACACAGCACTGGTGCAAACCACTTTCCCAGCTACAAGGTGTTCAGCTTGTGCTTCTGCACTCTTGAGCTGGCTTATGCTCAGTTGCTTTTGGGATGGACACCTGTGAAAGTAACACTAGAAAGTGTTTATGGAGGCTTGAGCATACTGTGTGACAGGAGCCTTGGACATTCGAACTTTTAAGCTTCTCGTAATTTCAACTGGACACATGGAACTAGCAACCACTCTTCTAACACACATGTTGGTGGATATTCACAGGCTCAAAAAAAAAGGGGGGGAGGGAAATAAAGGGGAAAAATGGAAGAAAAATAATAATGCAATGCAACTAACAAAGCAATTTTTCAATAATTTAATTTCTTCCAATAGTTGTGCCCACTAACACAGACAAGACCATGCACAACACTAAAAAAATATATGGAAGTTATTCATTTAAACCAGCACAGCATGGTAGGCAACAAGGTGAAGTGATTAACAAAGCAAGTCCTTCACCAAAGCTATAGCAAAAGATACCCAGCACATGAGTGTTCATCAGTGGGGCACATGAGGCACTTCTATAGACTCTCTGTTCAACAGGTTCATTCAGAGCTCTTTCTCTAATGGACAGGTACAGTTTTTAGTAAAATCAGTCAACAGACTGCTTTTGGTTTGCAGCTCCTGCTGCCTTAAGCTATTAACATTTCATTCTGACAATCAAGGATCTGGTAATATAATTCATATATATGCATAGGTTACTGTGATTGGAAGGAATCTGTTCCAAATGATTCTGATATCCCAACATTATTAAAGGATTCAATTTACTTCAGAAAGTATACCAGATGCCTGAATCCACAGCCAAAGTAAAGCAAAGTCCAGATATTCAGATCCAAAGCTCTGCATAGAGCCTATATCCCTGCTTCGCTGGAGATGCATTTTCCCATGGTTGAAGAGCAGGTGGATGTTTTCCTAATACTCTGCTGGTGGATTAAAAAACCCCAAACATGTGGAGCCCAGCCAGCTGCAACTGAAGCTCTGCAGAGCCTGTAAATAGGCTCTCTTTATCAACTGCTTTGATCACATTAATTGTGAATATGAGAAGGGCAATAAAGTTCAACAAGCTCTTTTGGAAAGGATTTTAGCAATGTACTAGTAGAATCCAGTCCATAGCTTTTTCTTATGTCAAATCACAGTCAGAGTACACACTCTCCTCCTTTTGTCATATGCTTTTACCTGTCCAGTCATAAGCAGACACTTTGGCTACAGACGGAGCTGATAACAAGTTCCTAAAGTGAGAGTGCAAAGGGCTCCATCCCATTAGAAAGCACAAACAGAAAACATTTGGATAAGACAGCAAAGCTACTGAAATAGTTTGGGAGCTAGGATACTGCAACCTAAATGCAAGCACCGAGTTTTGGGAGGGACCAGCTCTCCTTTCCTGTAGGATGTGGTACTGGCCATATTTTTATACTTGGTGCTTGAGAACTGCATCATTTATATGGACTTTTGCAAATAGGTGGAGGTGAGTCATTATACCACTTGTGGGTAGGGCTGGATACAGCCAAGCATACAAAGGTTGGAAGTAGATCACGCATCAGTGTCACATGGTCAGAAAAGTATATGTTCCATCAGAAGAATCTAAAAAGGATCAGGAATTGGTGCTTTTGAGTACCATTTATATCCCTCATTGTCTACCATATATTTTGATTAAGGAAAACCATAGGACGAGTGCCATCAAGAAATGTAAACAGTCCCTGAGAGGCAAGGTCAGATTTAAACTACATTTGGCCTGCCCTGTCATCATTTTTGGATTCCCTCCCTCTCACATACCTCATGTGTCCTGGCCAAGACAGCGCTTGCACGGCCCTTCCGTTCCCTGAAATGACATCTGACCTGACCAGAGGGGTGATGACACTCTCTTCCTCTCAGGATGTAAACAAATACTAACTGCCCTGAGTTCTGCATGGTGACACTGACGGATAGATGCTCTGTGGCAGGGCTCCAACAGCCGCACCAAGTCTGTGATGCATTTCCTTCTGAAATATACGGGGATATATAATAAAGCCTCACACTGGGAGAGACAAGATCAAGCACACAAGAGGCATAGATCAACATCTTCCTCAAAGTAGTGTTGGGTAAGGAAGCGTCACGTCGTAGGAGGCAGTAGAACCTGGAGTTCTGCCTCTTCTACGGGTTTGCTACTGGCATGTTCTGTGATTGTGTTAAAGTCTGGGGGCTTTCATTTCCCCAGCTGTAATGTCTATATGGTATACTGAGATCTTTGGAGAGAAGATGCCACAGAAGGCCCAATTTCACAGCATGCAGATGGCATAGTGAGAATTTCCTCACAAGCATGCTACTGCTCATAAACAGCCTGAGGTTAATTTTGCATTGCAATATTTCTCTTGAGTTCCCAAGCTCTTTCTTCGTATGTCCCACACCACAGAAAACATGGAGCCTTCACTTTTGTTAGCAACATCCCTCCAAACTTGTGGTGTAAGCTGGTGTCCTTGGGCTGAAATGTGGTCCAACAGATTAGAAGACTCGGATCACTGTTGTGCTGACACTATAGCTTAAACTCAGGAAAACATATGTCTGTAAAAGTGCCAAATCTGGCACTGAACTTTCCTTGAAGGAATACTGAATACAGAAACCCTCCCAGTCACCCAGCTGCATTACTACAGCATTAACACATTAATACTAAAAAGTCCATGTTTGTAAAAAAGCTGGTCTAGATCAGAGAAATTAAGAAGTAGAATTCACTATGAATAAAAATAAATCTGAGTTGTCTAGCTTTATTGCACACCACAGATGAAAGGCAGGTATTGGAATGACTGGCAGTGATGCCCAAAGGGAAGAGTAGTTCGCCCATAGTATTTGAAAGTTTAATTATGAACGTGTTACTAGAAATACAAAGAATTGTGGGCTTTATGCTGGTATTCCCTCTTCAGGTTTAAGCTGTATTTACCTGTCTGCACTGATTACAGAAAGACAGCCACAAACTGGTGTGTGGAAATGTCTTTTTTTAACGGTTGCAAAATATCTTCTGTCCTCTTATGATCCCCATTCCAGATACTTTCTAGGCATTAGTTGTGGTATATGCACTGAAATACATAGCACTGGCCCAGTATGCCTGGCAATGCATGGACAAGAAATCACGTGTGCTGGAGGAACTACAGCAATTTACATGGTTCTGTGATTCAGCACTGTAGCATAGTATGTTGCCTTTGCAAGTTAGCTGAAAAAGCCCTGTTTTCAATAACAGTGCTAAGTACACTTGATGCCTAAGTCCCATAATGTACTCATAAAAGCAAAGCAGAAGGCATATTTTTGCATCTGGAAAACCTAAACCTGTTTTATCATTAGCAATATTTGTAGGATACATAAAACTACTGGAAAGAAAGTTCAGATAAATGCTTCATGCAACTAACTGATGTCTTTTGGTATACTACAGAGGATGATTTATCCCTCACCATGTAAGCCCAGTGTTCTTTATCTTCCAAAATACGTAACTCCTTTTAGTTTAGGCTTGCAGACATGGTATGCACCACTTACCTGAGTTTTTGTCAGGCAGTCGGTTTATCCTCCATACGATGGAATTAAAGGCATGCTCGTATTTGGCAGTTCCCAAAGTTACTCTCATTACTGGCTCAGAACCAGACAGACTGGCTGATCCAAAAGTGGCACCCTTGTTCACCTTTGCTTTCAAAGATTTCTCCCCCAGGACGCTCTCCCTGCGGAAGTTCTTCACCCACTTGTTTGGCACTGGGTAGCGGATCATCACGTTTTCACAAGGGACCTGAGTTAATGGGTCACGGTTGGAAGAGAACCCAGTGGACATCATCAGCCAGCTCTGCACCTCCACCTCAGCACCACTGATGCTGGCAGCTGTCCTCAGAGTAAAAGGCAAAGTTTTCTCAGCAAAGACAGTTCTGAATCGCATCAGTTCAAACCGGCAGGCATCCAAGGGGTTGAACAGGATAATACGGGATTTATTAAACACATCCTCATCCACACATGAATGGAATCGACAGCTGTATAATTTAATCCACTTTGTGGTAGTAGTGGGCATAATATCCTGCCTTGCAACTATTTCATTCCCTTTGATCAGGATATCATTAAGGCCCAGCCTGCATTCTGCCAGGCCAGAAAGGAAGCTGAGAACATAGATATGGGTCAGCACACTCTGCTGGAGAATCACACTGTCCCCTTTGGCCAAGATGCCATGAAACTCATCCCTGACATCAACTGTGATTTCTTCTTCTTGATAGTTCAGTCCTACTGTGCTCAGATCTGTTGATGAGGCTGGCAAGTTCATCAGTGTGTCTTGCACAGCACTGATGAAGCTAAGGAAGTCTTCATAATCTGTAGTCCCAAGCTTGATAATTTGCTCTCTCTCTGCTGTGTGAGCAATGGCTGGCTTAGGCTGATACTTCTTTTTCTCCTTGTAGGTTGTGCGGTCCAACCGCACGCTGTGTATCCTTCCATTCTCATCATAGTTCTGGAGTTTGCGCTCTGAAATCTCATGATTGATTTCAAGTTTAAATTCCCGGAAAGGTTTCTCCAGTCCTTTCTCATAATAAAGCTGTATACATCCACTGTCAGTCAGTTTGACATATATTGGTCCCCAGTGCCTGGATGACATAATATTCTTCTTCTCTGGGATCCTAAGCATCATTGGCCATCCATCCTTTGGCTGAGCTGGTGCCAGATTAAATAAGGCTGCATCCGGATCATATGGCATCATGGGGTCATCATCAGGCAGGGTAGGGGTGCTCACGTGATCTGGGTCTCCAATCTGAAGTTGCTTTAGCTGCTCTACAGCATCTGTGTGGGTTATATTTTTGCTTGTCTCATGGAAACTGATGATATCAGACTCTTGATGAAGAATAATGAGAGAGTCTCTTTGGCTTTTGCCTGGAGCACTGGAGACAGAAGAGCTTTTGGAACGCCTGTCTTGCTCCTCAAAGAATGAGCTGAATGGATTGATGGGTGAAGGCTGGACATCTCGCAGAGATTCATCCAGGAAGGGATTAGTAGCACTCCATGGTGGTGTTTCAACAGAAGGCAACTTGGTTAAGGAGGAGAGATCGAGTTTTTGAATTTTGGAGAGGTCCCCCAGTGTGCTTTTAGGACGTTCTCTTTTCTGAAAGGATGTAGTGAGGTTAAAGTTAACATCTGGAGTCTGTGTTTCTGCAGGTGGGGTGTCTGTTTTCAAGGGAGAAAGATTCTGTGGTGAAAAACTGACTTCATTGTCGTCAAAAGTCACCCAGCTGGGAAAGCGAACTGTGGTTGGGGTAGATGAATGCCCATTCATGGAGGTGTTGTTCAGCTGCCAGTTGACAGCCTCCATGTCTATCTCTTCATCTTCCTGGAGAGACGAGGAATTGTCTTTAAAAAAAGAGGAAATTTCAGTTAATTACTCTGAAGTTACTCAGTTCTCTCCAAGTACAGAAATCTACAGTCTGCACAACAGTTTGCATGCTCAAGAAAGGCATTTTCATATGCTAGGCAAGAAAGATAATCAGAAGACTTGGCTAAAATGCTTAAGAGTCTGGCCAGAATTAACAAAGAAACAGACAGCTGAACACAGAAAAGGAATGTAGTAAGAAATAGAAAAGGTATTACAGCAATGATTGTATTGCTCTCATTCCAACATAATAACTTAAAAAAAAAAGAAACTTAGCCCACATGTTGTAGTGATTCTTTAAAACTTCCCTCTAAACTTTCAGGCTGCGTTTCTTCTCTCCACTTACCTTCTGCCACTTGCCTGTTTAGTTCCCTCTCACTCTTGTTCTCATTTTTTCCCTTTCTGTTCCCATACCCTTTGCTCTAGGGAAAAATCACAGAATCATAGAATAGTCAGGGTTAAAATAGTTAGGGTTAAAATCCAGTAGGGAGAGGGAATGAACACTGAGGAAGAGCATTTCTGCACTTTGTCCCTATGTATTTGTCTGCACATTTGCTGTTAAGACAAAAGCACAGGAGGATATGGTGAAGGCACCATAAAGGGTGTGTAGGTGGCATTTTTGCCCAGGATGTGTTCAGTAAAGAAACTCTTTGGGTTACCTAGTGGGAAAGAG